TGCACGCCCCCATACGTCCAAAACAACAATGGAAACCCTTCGGAAATTGAAATGGAACCTTCTGACGCATCTGCTGTACAGTCTCGATTTGGCCCCAAGTGCTTTCTACCTGTTCGGAAGGCTCAAATCAGACTTGCAAGGCATGTGGTTTGTGGACAACGACGCCGTCATCCAGACTGTTCGGGAGTGGATACGCCGCCAACCACAAGTCTTTTTTGGGGGGGCATCAGGATGCTTCCAGAAAGTTGGAAAATATGTGTTTTTTTTTAAACAGTCCTGGTCATATTTGAACCACCTTGTATATACAGTGGAACCTTCATCCATCATTCCCCCATTCATTGTTTTCCTGTATGTGCCATTGATTTTTTCTGGTCCCTGTAAATCATCCATATAAACAATGTGTAAATATATCATATGCATTGTTCCTCAAAGTGCCATTTTCCTGTGTCAGTCGCTCAGAATTCTTGGTCCTGGCCCACAGTATTCATGGAGTGACTGTTTCTGAGAAAGAAGTACTGAAGTAAAGTTATGTTTTTGAAACATGCAGTATCAGTGATCCATCCACACTATTGTTTCTGAGAAAAAGTAGTGAAATCACAGGCTGTTTTGAAATGTATAGAAGTGATAACTTGCCCTTACTGCCAAGTACCATTATAGCCTATATGCATCACTTCAGCTAAGTGAGGAAAGTTAAAAGAGTGGTGTGGGTGAAGGGGAGGCATCATTTATATGTAGCAAACTTCAGAACTATGTCTACACTTAACTATTATTGTCCAGCATAATTCATTTCACTTTGCCTTGTTGAGTTTGGCATTTTACAGAGTGTGATTAGTATTGTTATACGTGTTGTTATTTGTTAATATTGATTTCTTGTACATAATTCCAGTACATCAGAGCTTGACAGGGTCTTGCGCTCAAAAGCAAGTCAGGACACTTCACAAAAGACCGGAGATTGGTGAGATTTAGAAGCAGATCGATATAGCACCATTCATGCTTAAATCCACTGTTACAAAGAAAAGTCAAATTTGGGAACAAATAGTGTGAAAAGTGTTGTAACAGAAGGAAGATGGGAAGGAAATGTACTTTCCATGAGCTAGACATCGTCCTGCTGGCTTGGCATCTTCAAGCGCATGCATCAGATATTCCTGTTGATGGCAACGTATTACCTGAAAAGGCCAGGCAGATAGCTAATAGAATTGCAGATTAACAATTTTGCTGCATCATATGGATGGATTGATGGATGTAGTGTAGGTTCAAAGACTCATGGTCTAGTGCACAGAGAGCTAGCCAGAGAAAGTGCTGCCATCAGCAGTGAAAAAGGAACCTTTGGCTTGAGATGCTACGAATATTACTGGAAGGATATGGGCAATGGAACATTACAGCACAGATGAGATAGGCCTCTTCTATAATTGTCTCCAAGACTGAAAGGCCAGTCCTGGCACAGGAGAAAAAGTACCAAAGAGAGTGTAAGGGTGCTGCTGTGTGTGAACAGTGATGATACATAGATACATAGATGCCGACTGGATGGAAAATCGTTGAAACCATGTTATTTTGAAAGCATACTACCAAAATTGGAAGTGTGTATGACCACAGTCCTCTGGGTCCTCTGTGAGGCTGGAACCGTTCACAATGTCAGAAGGTCTAATGGATACCAATACTGGTCTACAAATAAATTATCCACCAGTAACGCACAAACAATACAGAGACACCAGATGACAATAAATGGGCCACATTCATGTATTATGGGCTAGAAACTGAAGTGATCACATATTTATTTCAAAATGCCCATTGCAAAATTGGCTATAAAACTGTCAGTGCCATTAAACACCATCTGAAATCTCATAGTGAAGAAGGAGATATATTCAACCAGAGTGGCAAACTAGATACATGTATGACAATTAGTTTCTGAGATATAAATTTTTCATCTTGGATACCTTTCATTCAGACACTCTGTATTTATCTTTGCACAAAAGGAATGGCCTGTTAAAAACCTGAACTGTTTGTTATAATTTATGATTGCTAGAATTTGATCCAGGCCAGGTATTATTGAGTATGTATGTCTTATTGTCTCTTGCAGGTATTTGCCAATATGAGTGGTCTTATAGTCATTACTGATGAAGGTTCGATTGAAAGCTGCAATCACCACTTCACACACATGATGTTTGGTTATCCGCAGTCTGAATTATTGGGACAGGTACAGTGATGAGTGTTTTGAGTTCTTAACAAGTTTCATCCTGTGGTTTCCTATCTTTTTCAGCTTGTCCTGATGTATTTGACCATTCTTTGATCATTGTATCCTCAGAACTTCATCACTCACTCTGCATGAAAATATTAATTTAGATAAACATCATTCAGTTCGCAATGAAAAACAAGGACCTCAAAATATTGTTGTTCCATTAAGCTTCAGGTTTTAAAATGCTGCACTAATAGTACTAATAGCTGAGGGCTGGAGAACGAAGGAATTGGGTTTCGATTTTCATCAGGGTCAAGAGATGTTTCTCTTGTCTACAGCATCCAGACTGGCTGTGGGGCTTACCCAGTCTCCCATCCAAAGGATATTAGATGCTCTTTCCCAGAGGGTAAAGTGGATGGGGCATGAACTTCACCATCCATCTCCATCTTCAGCTGAGGTTAAAAATGCTGGGAGATATACCCCCACTCACGTAGTATGTCCTCATAGCACGGTGGTCAATGAATTAAGCTCAGGGTCAATTGTAACTTTAACTTTACTGTTGAAATAGTATACATTTCATATACTTTTTTTGTATTCAGCACAGAATTACTGAGGTTTTGGACTTTTGCCCATCGTCTAGTATTCTAAAAACTAGAATAAAGTGTGAAAATCCTGTAATTCTGAGTATTATACACTGTTGTCAGAACCCTTTAGAATCTACTTTTGTATTCTGCTGTATTAGCATTAAAAATCAACTACAAAAATACAAAATGCATGAAGTACATAAGTTTATGTTTAGCTTACCTTTTATCATTATATTCTTATGCATGTGTTAATTATTAGACCTTCACTCTTGTCAGTATGTCAAATCAACCTTATGGGGGTAATAGTTGGGCTGAATGCAAAGGCGTGCTAAATGCTATGGACAGGGTTGCCTGAGTTCAGTTTTAAATGTAATAAAGAAAATATATTTACATGCACAACATGGACTATGTACGAGGTAGAGTTAGTAAATAGCTCACAGATGGAAGTAAAACAGCTGTAATGGGCATAATAGATTTTATATGTGTATCACTAGGTATCAGTACAGTCTAGCTTCATGACAGTCTAGGTATCAGATGCTCATGTTCAGGGGCTGGTTTCAGTAATAAAAAATGACTGCTTGAAGATTGTACTACTGAAGAGCACACTTTATGTTGTGCGTTTTTTATGGGCAGAAGGACTCAGTGCGAAGGATGTTCATCAAGAAATGTTTCCTGTTTCCTGTGGGAAGTGTTTGTCACATAAAGAGTTTTACAGCTGGTCAAGAAATGTAGCAAATGTTTCATTGATGCTGAATGGATTGAAATGGAGGTGCGGAAGTGGCTGAGACAACTGTCAAAAGACTTCCATGCTGTGGGTTTCAATGCACTGATAAAACAATGTGACAAGTGTATCAATGTTGGTGGAGGATATAGTGAGAAATAAATGTTTTTTCCAGGTTCGAATATCACATGTTTTATGTTTTATATTCATTTATGACCTATTTACTGACTGTCCCTTGTATATTACATGGCGAAGTGTCCAAATTCTTACGATCAGGTAAATATTGATTCATACATAGTCAGCTCTAGTATTGTTCTTCGTTAAGGGTAAAGGCTAAACAAGTATTAATAATACAGCTGGCTTATGAGCGGCAGTTTCTTCTTTAGAAATGTACAGCCACTGATATTTATAATACACTTGTGGCTTTAATAGAAACTAGAATTGCTACCTCTTCTCAGGCACCCAGATGTGTCTGTTCAGAACAAAAGTCCAGTGTTTTGGAGAATTTATTCAGTGATAAAGGAGGTAAGAAGGTCGCTGAACCATTGGTAACCCAAGATTTTTTCACGCATTACATGTTGAACAATCTGCCTTGCTTTTAGTGTCATGAAGACATCCTTATTGTTTGCTTATTTTGCTACAGAAAATTACTACCATTATACCGAACTTCTGCGAGGACTTGGAATACCTGGGCGATACTACTGTCACTGTCGCTCAGTTTGATTTAAACAAGACAGATGATGATAATGACAACAGTAATTATGATTCTGCCTTGGAGAACACAGAACAAGATGAATCTAGGAATAGTAGAAAGGAAACCGGAACTATTGAGCTGGAAAGGTCAAGCAAGATGGTGGAAAGTTTGGGAATGGAATTGTTGACTGATGGAGAACATACTGATGTTGTTAATGCAAACAATTCATTAGCATCAGTCAGTGAAATTGTGACTTCAATGAACAGATTGAATATTGGATATTTCAAGGACAGCACCAGGTAGGCATTTGACTAGCAAGCAGTTCCTTCATAAATGTTAGCTTTAAATGGGGTGGGGGATTAAGTGCCTTAGTGGGAACAGCCCTACAGAGTTTTTATTTTTGTGGTCATAACTATTTAATGCAGGCTGTATGAAAAATTATAATACAGTGAAGTCCTTGTCTAACGAATCTTTAGGGCAGCGATTTGCAACCTGTGTGACAAGAAGGGTCTGTAGGTGTGCCGCAGGAGTTTGGGGGAAGTTTGAAAAGAAGTGACAAAAATTGAGGAATAAAAAATTGTGAAAATCCATGATCAGTATTATTTTTAAAAATAACATTATGATTATAATTTTAGCTATTGAAGTATTAAACACAATCTTATAACGCTTTTTAACTATAAAATCCCTCCTTAAAAATGATGCTGTGCCTTGGAAATTTTAGTACCTTGTGTGGTGTGCCATAAGTTTAAAAAGGTTGAAAAAACTGCTCTAGGGAACGGGTTTTCTTATATTAAATCGGGGTTATGTAATATTTACCTCCAGCTGCTAATTCCAACCTTTTTGTTAATTGCAAGAATCTTCCTCTTTACAGACACCACAATGAACAAGAAACAAAATAAATATTATTGATGAAATTCAAAACTCATGCATGTCACTCATCAAAGATAATAGTTGAGTGACGACTGCTGGCAGGGAGAAAATGTGAATGTCCGTTTCAACCATGATCACACAATTGAGATCAGTTTATTGAGAAGATTGAAATTCGCTAAATACAGGACAGAATACATTGTTTGTATGGGACCATGATTTGCAGCACAAGAAATATTGATTAAATATGGGATTTCACTATATTATTTAAAGTGAGAATGATAAAATTATTAAATAGTCTCCACTTTCTTACAAATAAAACAAATTGTGCATTGTCTTTTGGAAATGCTGTTACAGTCAACTCTCGATTAACCGNTGACTTCCATCCCCACCATTAGCCCGGATAATCGAGAGTTGACTGTATTTGCTTAGTGGGGGGTGGTGTCCAACTGGGTCCACTTGGCACGGCGGCCACTGACTGGCCTATTGTACCTGCCCCAGGTGATTATGATGATAAAGAATTTGATGGAATGAAGACTGGCATGGGAAACCGAAGTACTTGGAGAAAACCTGCCCCAAAGCCACTTTGTCCACCACAAATCCCACTTGATCAGACCCAGGATTGTACCCAGGTCACCGTGGTGGGAAGACAGTGACTAACTGCTTGAGCTATGGCGCAGGCTTCGGAAATGCTGTTTATATTGTAATTTCATGTATCTACATATTTCTAAATTTCAATTTCCTTTTACTTACATTTCTCTCAGATGCTTCAGGTTAGTGTAAGGTGGTTGAACTTGTGGTAGCTTTACACCCACGTCTTTGTGTGATAATCCAAGAAGCAGTTTTTGTCCACAAATGAACCCACCTCACATTTCTGACACTTTACACTGACTTTTTGTGTTACCCTGTAAGCTGAACATACATGACACTGCAGTAGATTGCATGAAGTAGGCCAATGCATAATGATGCTAGAGTCTAGTCTGGTGACTTTTACTGACAACATTGCTGGCCTATCTAATGGTCTCTGTACACGTGGCTGTTGTCCAGCATGTGCCAGCACATTCTTCACTAGGGCAAGTTGAGATTCTCTATGTGTGATTTTCTTTCCACCACATGAAGAAAGAAGAATATAACTATTCAGAATAGGCAGCTCTAACAGATGGAAGAACAGTTTCTTCATCAATTTCCCTGTGTGACTGCTAGTTGAGTAGTTGGAAATATTCATCCACAACATGTGCCTGTATAAAATTCCCCTTTTCATCTCAGAAGTTAACTTCTGCTAGTGGGCTGTGAATATTGATCAACATCTGAATATCTGTTTTGGACCTCCATACCACTGCTGCCAAGTCACTCCTCATTTGCGCTCGAATGTCAACCCATTTCAGTTTCATTTTCTTTTGTCTGAGCTTCTGTGGCATGCCCTTCCTACTTAGTCTGACAGTCCCTCAGTTATTTCTTTTTCTTTGTCAAGATGTTTAATAAAACACGAGAGGAGAAGAAATTGTCCATACAATTTGTGACTTCTTCCCTCTACTTTCTTAATGAGTTCTATCACTGTAGCATGTGTAGTTTACAAGCCTTATATTATTTGTCCTCCAAGTGCACTTACATGTTGTAACAAATTTATGCTTTTACAATTTTGCAAGTAATTAATTGAATGCACATGATAGGTCTTCATAGAAGCTGTCCTTGATATCATGATTTTCATCCTCCATTGTTGCATGAACATTCAGAACAGTGATATCATACCAGCTACTTGTCATTATTATTTATGACATACTATAACTAGCAAACTCTACCCAGTTAACTGTTGAAATGATTCTCTTATGTACAAGAAATCCTGCCCCTAATTCATGATTCTCATTCTTTTTTCTATAATGTATTGTCATGTGTATCCTGGTAACATGACAGTAAATAATGGGTTCTAGATTTGATAACTCAATTTATTGGATAATTTCACACATTATAATTATAATTTGTTATTACACTTTCAAGATTGCTGTATCTGTGACACACAAACAATTATAACGCTCTCAAGGTTAACATATCAACTATTGAACTTTCTTGAATGACGTCTTCCTGACGAATCCTCAGTTCCTCCAGCATATGACTGCTGAACTGAACTGAACTCTTCTTATATAGGATTGGTACGGACCACCCACAGAAAACATCATTTACTTGGCAGTGTATATCATATATTGTCAACTGTGTCAACCCATGCATTGCCTAGCAATGGATGCCCTATTGTTGTACATTCATTGCTGTGGTATGTATTTACCTGTCTGTTACCTAGCAATTGACTCCCTTCTGTTGCTGGATGCACATTGGTTGGGACATGTTTACCTGTTCGTCTCCTAGAAATGGGCCAGTCTGTCACAGTATAATTGCGTGCTCATTCAGTGCCACCCCTGTCCCATCTAAATTATTCTAGGGGAAAATTGGGATTCTGGAGAAAATTCTTGTTTTTGTCTTGGTTCTTGAAAGTTTTCCAAATTCTTATTTTATTTCTTCCCATACTAAGCAAATCATTCTTACACATGTCTAATATACTTACTTACTTACTCATGGAGCTGAGCCCTTCTTGAGGAACGGCCAATTCTGCAGCTCCTCAAGAATTTTCCAGCATTTTATGGAACCCATAGGTTCATTACCATGTTCACAAGAGCCCTCCACTGGCCCCTATCCCAAGCCAGACCAATCCAATCCATACCATCCCATCTTATCTCTCTAAGATCCATTTTAATATTGTCCACCCACCTACGCCTTGGTCTTCCCTGTAGTCTCTTCTGGCTTTCCCACCCATATCCTATATGCATTCCTCGTCTCCCCCATTCATGCTACATGCCCTGCCCACCTCAACGTCCTTGACATGATCATTCAAATTATACTTTGAGAAGAGTGCAAGTTATGAAGCTCCTCATTATGCAGTTTTCTCCAACCGCCTGTCACTTCATCTCTCTTCGCTCCAAATATTCTCCTCAACACCCTGTTCTCACATGCCTAATAAATTATGAAATTTAAAATATTGTTCTCAGCAGTTTGTTCTCCATTTTTGTTCTCTCTAGTGTAAGGTGAATTTTCAATTTCATTAGTTTCATGCTTATTGATATATATTTTTACCTGTCAGCTGTAAGGAGACATGCCCTACCTTGCCTTCACAGTCTGTTTTTCTTTCAATTTACAGCATTAATTTGTCTTCATACAATTGTGATGCATCAGTGAAGCAGTGCTCCATCTTCAGTTCATCGTATCTTGGGGAAGAGGATTCACCTTCTCAACATAACGGCCACAGCATTGCAAAAACTTTACCTCCTATGACACTAAATATTGTGGCTGGTAATTCAGTAATGGATATAGAAAATGGCAGCGAGAATGGAGAATTAACACCAATTGTGTCACCACGAAATGACTTTGTTGATTATGATGATAATTTTGAAACTGCTTCAGATGGTGAAGATGAAGATGATGGCGATGATGACGACAGTATAGAAGTTATTAAGGAAGACCAAGATGATGTTTCTGTTAATCAACAGAACAGTAATAAGCCAGAAAGTATAAAAGTACCTTTAAACTCATTTTCTGGAGAAAATTTGAAGGACTCTAGAAAAGGAATTGATGTGGTTGTTGAAGTGGTTGAAGTTGTCCATGATAAATCAGATGCAGATTTTTCTGACAAAGAAAACGAATTAAAAAGACACTGTGAAGGAAATGTAAAAGAAAGAAGTTCTGAAGCTGATGTTAAATATTATGAATGGAAAGAAGCAGAATCTTTAGGCATTATTAAATTTGATGGTCCAGACGAATTGAGTATAATTTCAGATTCAGCTGACCCTGTTAATGAAGATAATTTGGATCACACAGGTGAAGTCATGCTTGTGACCTCTACTCCTGCAGCTGGGAAGCGAATGACAAGGAAAAGAGTTTCAAGGGATTTGGATGATAAAAGTGAAGCAGGGACACTGAAGAAATTTGTGGATGGAAGTTATGTTGGATTTGGAAAACATCGTGATGGCTCCAACTTAGGTAAGATAAGATTTACTTTCCTTTTTAGTCTGGTGTAATATTTTCACAATTTTTGGCTTACTTTCCTTATTTGATGAGATGTGACAGACTTACCATATCATAATATTCATCTGTTTCAAGGAACTGTTGAATGAAAATTTTGCATGAATATGATTCTATCATCATAACTTTTATTTTAATGTCAGTGATAGTAACAACATGACAACTTTGGAACCACTGAGATGTGAGCAAGATTTGCCCCCCTTACCATTTTTTAACTTCATTTTTTTACATAAAATTATGAAATTTGAACACAAGACTATAAATTGTTACGTTGTGAATTTTGAGTCTTTATCAGTAGAGTAGTTGTACACAAATAAAGATAAAATAACTTATATGCTGTGAACACAGTCAACTTGTCATCAGATGAACCAAGTTTACTTGACATGGTCACCCTCAGTAATTTATTTTTGACTGCTAGTTTTGAAAATGCTTTCTCAGACAGAGCCCTTAATCACACTTCCAGCAGTACTTTGTTTCAAAATCCTTTGCAGCTTTTCCTATTCAGTGTACATACAAGTACACATTGCAGGTTCACTGATATTGCCCATCTCTTTCATCTGTGTTTCCAGAATTCTATGTGGAAAATTTCCTGGATGTTGCTGGCAAAGGAACGCCCCCCCAACTCAGCCTCTTCTTCTTCTTCTCCTCCTCCTCCCCCTCCTCCTCCCCTCCTTCTTCTCCTCCCCCTCCTTCTTCTCCTTCCCTTTCTCCTCCTCCTCCTTATTCCTCTTCTTCTCCTCCTCTCCTTCCCCTTCTCCCCCTCCTTTTTCTTCTCCTTCTCCTCCTCCCTCTTCTTCTCCTCCTCCTCCTTCTCCTTCTTCTTCTTCTTCTTCTTCTTTGTTGTAAATGCTCATTTTGGCATTACTGTGCCCTCTTACATATGCAGAAATGGTTGAAGAGTTTTAGGATAGAAAACCATTGACTTACATACAAAGTGTGTATCTTATTCTTGCCTTGCCTAAATGACCAATTGACAGCACTGAAGTCAGTACTGTGTTCCGTGTCAGTAGGGTGTGTGCCAACATATATTGCAGTATTATGTACATAGCTTTTTCTTTCTTGCTTCATACATTTCAGAAATCATGATTCTGTATTTGTGAGGTTTCCTCTTCTTGTACACCTGGAAGAACATGCTTCCTTGAAATGCATGGATTGCATTGATAGTGGTGAGTTCTTTCTCAGGTCATGTCATGAGACATGTAAACAGATGTTCCATAGGTCATTTGTGGACTATTGGTCTTTTGCTCCAATAATTATACAGACAGCTTGCCTAACATGGCCATGAATGACAATTGAACCAGACACTTTTGGTTCTCATTCTGCTACAGGCTTCCACTAGGCAAATACAGACTTTTATTGTCAGAGGTTTACCTTGCTCCTTCTTGTTTATCTGTTGGTTGCATACAAGTTGATTTAATCCTGTTTAATTATGAAAATTTAATCATCAAAGAATTCTGAAAATTTTATCTGGTAAGCTGTCCTCTGTAATGGAATAATTTTTATTTTTCTCTTACTGAGAGCTGACTGTAAACGACCTTCACTGGTCCCTATAAACCTTTGGTGCGGACCTACAGAAAATGAGTCATGTGATTCCTAGCCAGTGACTTCATTGGTGTGCTGGCTGTTGCCTAGCAGCGAGCAATAACATTCGTCCACTGAGACACATCTTCCATTGTTGCATTTTGACTGTGTTTACTGAGCTGTTGCCTAGAATCACTTTGATCAAATCCATTACAGTATGTAGATTGATAACATTGAGAAGATGGTGGTTGGGTGTTTGGTTGGTTTCTGTTGCTGGATTTTGACAAATAAGTCATTTATGCTCTTTAACCTCAACTGGTTGCCACATTTATAACTCATTTTCTATTCAGACATCACTTGGGCAAGTTGCATTATCCAGTTGGCCAGCATGCTTCACTTGCGTTGGGTAATTTGAAGTTGTCCCCACTCGTCTCTTTCTTTACAGTTGTGTGACCGCAGTGGAATCTAGAAGCAGAGAAAGAAGCTTCTTGGGCAACACAAAATTATACTTAATTTTGCTTTCACTCATCTCTTATCATGAGTGGAAGGTTCTTTTACAAGGGAGAGTCAGTAAATACTTCACAAATGGTTATGTAACCTAAAACATGTGATATTTGAACCTGGAAAACACGTTTATTTCTCGACATATCCTCAAGCAACATTGATACACTTATTCCACTGCTTTACCAGTGCATTGAAACCCACAGCATAGAAGTCTTTTGACCGTTGTCTCAGCCGCTTCTGCACCTGTTTCAACCTCTTCGTCATCAGTAAAACTCAGCTGTGAACCGCTTTACATGACAAACACTTCCCACCATATCAGGAAACATTTCTTTATATTGTGGAAAATAATTATTGTAAATACAAAAAGGACATAGGCAATGCCCATCCAGCCTACTGTAGCACATTCCTATATACATCTTATTCTATTACAGCAGTCACCCTGTGATTCTTAATATAGATCTTAACTTAAATCTGAGAGTATACTGTTAATAAACTGTACAATTACTTCTTTTACTTTCGCTACCTAGATTTCAGTGAAGCTGGACTGTGCTGCTACCTAGTGATGCACACAGAAAACGCACTATGTCCATTACAGCTGTTTTACTTCGATTTGTGACCTATTTACTGACTCCCTCATACATGTGGTCAGTGTATGATGTGGGACCCCCTGCTTTAGTCCCCTGTGAAGGAAGTTGTGCTCTGGATTTTTATTGCCTTTAAAAATCCATCAGCCTTGGCCGGGCTTGAACTGTGAACCTTGGGTCCAATGGTGAGCACTGAGGCAGCCAAAAGATTTAAGGAAGTAGAGAGACTGAAGTGTAAGTGAACTTGTCCAGTTGCAGGAGAACTGATTAGTACCATGACTCTCAGTATGTGTATGAGGAGTTAATGGAATGTATGATTTTTCTTCAGATATTGTGTATAGAGTACGTGGTGTGGTGCTGTCTTGTGGAAGATGTGTGTACTGTGTGTGGGTGTCAAGAGATCCAGAAGAGATGGGGGAAGGCGGTCGGTACTGTGGTGGAAACCTTACACTAACATCCAGTTTCAACAGCACTGTAGATAACTCACTGGGACAGGTAAAACTTTTGTCACGTATTCCATTTAACTGATACCAACATGATATGAAGACATGCTGACATGCTATCTAGCCACGTGTGAGAATGGCTTTTTAAGTTTGAGAAGAGATGTAGATGAGAATCTGCAAAATTTTCAGGTGTCAAGATGAGAACAAGATTTTTTATTAGTATTATTTTTCTCCTTGTGCTGTGATAGCTTATCATTTAAGCATCACTAAGCATTACTGGGTTTTCGGACAGGTCCACACCACCCATCCCAGAATTGCAATCAATGACTACTTTGGGTTTCTCCATGTCTTGCCCTCAAGCCCTAGTTTGAACCATTTTGTCATTGTCATCATGAGTGGTACTTGTGAGGCAAATATCTTTTAGTTTTCCAATTCATTATATTATTCTGACCTTACCGCCATCTGTGAGCCGATTGTCTAGATAATGTGGGACCCTCAACGTCTCACAACCCTATGGGACTTCACAGCCTGTTACAGGGATAGCTTTACTTTTTTTTATATTATTCTGTCTTGGTAGACTTGAACATGTTCTCCCTTTTTCAGTTTTGTGCTCTTTTATCTCAGCAGGAACACCCTTCCTGTTTTGACGCAAGGTTCCCTTAGTGTTAGTCTGTTTGCTGTACAGCTTATGGAATAGATCTGGCCTTGAAAACCAATTGTCCATGATTACACAGTATCCCTGATTCAATACAGGAGCCATTAGTTGTAGAACTACTTTTGAGTCATATGGTTTATTTTTTAGGGACTTGTCAAAAATGGTATCCTGCCCAATGTAAATAATGAAGTTCCATACATAACCAGATTTGGCTTCACACAATTCAAATGATTTTATACCAAATTTAGCATGTTTTGAAGGAATGTATGTGTTTCACAACAAACGTCCCTTCCACATCATCAAAGACTCATCTACTGACAAATCACACTGGTGTATATATAAAAAAAAAGTAAAAAGTTAAGGTATCCCTGTAACAGGTCATGGAGGCCCATAGGGTTATGAGATGTTGAGGTTCCCACATTTTCTAGACAGTTGGCTCATAGATGGCGGCAAGGTTGTCAGCTCTACGCACCGGCTGCCCTTTACTCCCAAGTATATTCCTGGTACTCATTTCTGTTAGAGACTGAGTTAACCCCAGGGCCATAGTGCAGCTGGAAGGATTAGGTTAATTGAAAAAAATCCAATGACCTCATCGGGACTTGAACCTGCGACCTTCTGGCTTGTAGCATAATGCCACAACCAACTACACTACCGTGTGCCCCCTCCTAATTTCGGCATTTAGGTGATCCAGTATGGGTTTGAGTCTACAGTTTTTTGGAGCTGCAAGTGGCCTCATTGTAACTTTTGTTGTCAACATCATGAAGGAACTTGAGCAGAAGGTGAAACCTCCTCTCACTGAACAGGTCCAAAAAGTGGGTGTTTCCAGAATTTTCTGCTGGGAATAGTAGCCCTTGTTATCTGGTTTCCGGTGGAGTCCTTGTAACAGAAAGAGTGTCAGCAACTTGATTGTTTAATTTCTGTTTCCTTCCAGTGATGGGCCCTAGATTTTAGTTTTAGATTAGGCATATTTCCTAAAAAATGTTTGGTATATCTGTATGTTTCTCTGGCTGTTACTTCCACAGTTTCTGGTGTACAAAACAACTCAAAATATTTCAAGGGGTTGATGGGGGTCTTCTAAATCAACATTTATGCTAGGCTTTTCAGTAAATGGAAAACCTGGTTGGTCAGCACCTGACTTTGCCCATATGCTGTACTGCATGCTACTGTTGTCAGACATTTTCTTCTTCATCAAAGCTTACACTCTGTTCAGCACATGATTAAATTTTCACATTTATTTCACTGTCACTAGTATATGCACTCAGAAATATCACTTACTTACTTACGTACTTACTTACTTACTTACTCATGGAGCTGAGCCTTTCTTGAGGAGCCACCAATTCTGCAGCTACTCAAGAATTTCCCAGCATTTTATGGAACCTGAAGGTTCATCACCGTGTTCACAAGAGCCCTCCACTGGTCCCTATCCTGAGCCAGATCTATGCAATCCATACCATCCCATCCTATCTCTCTTAAGATCCATTCTAATATTGTCCACCCACCTATGCCTTGGTCTTCCCTGTGGTCTCTTTCCGTCTGGCTTTCCCACCAATATCCTATACGCATTCCTTGTCTCCCCCATTCGTGCTACATGACCTGCCCACCTCATCCTCCTTGACTTGATCATTCTAATTATACTTGAAGAAGAGTACAAGTTATGAAGCTCCTCATTATGCAGTTTTCTCCAACCTCCTATGACTTCATCTCTGTTTGGTCCAAATATTCTCCTCAACACCCTGTTCTCAAATACTCTCAGTCTATGTTCCTCCCTTAATGTCAGAGACCAAATTTCACACCCATACAGAACCACAGGCAAAATTATGGTTTTGGTGGGTCCCTGTCACCACGGCATGGCGCGTCCTCAGGTTGCGGATGGAGGAGACGCCCTCCAGTTTTGGAAGGAAGCTGTGAATATATTGAATAAGCAGTCGCGGACAGCCGACAAGGGGTGGCCCTCCAGCTTGGGGTGAGCTTGGGGCTAACAACTCCTCGCCGTAAAAAATCAGTATGTTACGAAAATGAACACAAAGCCTCAGAAATATCACTATATAAATTATCTTGCAACAGTTTATGTAATACCTCCTCATCACTCACACAGATTACACACAACAGATTCCTTTCCAGAGTGTGTACAATTTTTTATTTATAGGCAATTCGCTCGTGTGCTCAGAGCAATGTGATTCCACAGCAGCCAAGCACTCGACCAGGATCTGTGTCAGTATTAAGTCAATGCGATGATGATCAGACCTGTGGAAACTATGGAGAACATTACACAACTCTTCAGCAGATAGGCAAAGGGGCATTTGGGTATGTGAAGATGGCATTCCGTAATGAAGATGGATTATTGGTAGGTATCTTTTCTGAATAAAAATATGATTGGGTTCTCATGGGTCAAACATTCTTTTTTCAATATTAATGAAGTAGCATGCTCATGACAGTTGGATAGGCATAGGAAAACAATAATATTCTTTTTTTTAAGCTTTGTATGTATTTTATTTTTAAGATTATATGTTGATCTTGTTTTCAGGTGATAACAAAGTTCATTCAGAAGCAGAAAGTTCATCAGCAGTCATGGGTTGATGATCCAACACTAGGAAGAAAAGTTCCACTTGAAATTAGTCTTTTGACCACCCTAAAACACCCCAATATTGTAAGTATTAGAATTTCTCTTTGAAGATCTACCATACATCAGTGTCTGAATCATTACTTTGTAAATAACTTGGAACATTTGGAGTTTGAGCATGTCATTTTAGTTGGCTTTAAGTGTAGACTGTTGACCTTTTCAAGACCAGCCCTTAATATACATGTGCCTTATCTAGCATGTCCACAGGGCCAGCCCACTTTCCAGTTTTTTTTCTTTGCACCATTGCTGAAATGCTATTTTTATATGTCTTTTGTACTTTAGAATTTTTACGCATCCTGAACTTACACAGTAAGTAAGCCATTTTCTCCAGGCACACAGGCACAGCCAAGAGAATGACAAGAAAAACAACGGTGGTTTAGTTGTATTTGCTAAAAATAAATTGGGTCTAGAAGGTAAGTGAATGCTTGAAAAATATGAAAAATGTGAAGGTAAAAAATGGAACTAACATACTCACATTTACAGTTTGGGGCTATGTATAGATTATTTGGCCTGATATCGAAGAATTTGTAATCGCCCTGAGTGTGTTAGTTTATAATTCTTACTTCCTGAAAGATTCGCCACAAGGAATATGGTAAAACACATTAATCAGTTTAAGTGAGAACAACCTGTTGAAACAAAGTATTAAGGCACTGATACTGTTGGTTATATTTGCTACTTTTAATGTTGTGAAATAATGTGGATGAGAAAGGGTGTGGAGCTTGATTCTAGACAGGAACAGGGATTTTGTCTCTTTGCCACGATATCCAGACAAACTGTGATGCCCATCAAGCCTCCCATGCATTAGGTATAGGGGTATGAAGAGACAGTGTGAAGGTGATCACTAGGGACCGGATTTTAATGCAAATGCATATTTCTTTCTTGCAACCAGAAAGTATGCTCGTTTGGATATATGTATGAATTACTTCATTTCTTAAATTTTGGACATGGTTTGATGGTGCATATAAATGCATATTTTGCCTGTTTTATGAATAAGCATGTTTTTTAAGATCTCTATTTATACTGCATATTTCCTTTTTAAAATGTTTATCATATATATTTTTTAATTTTATGTTAAAATTTTCAATCATGGTTGTGTGTATACAGTTTTTCTTTTCTGTATTAGAATATATTGCATATTTGACTCAAAATTTCGTCATGATTTATGTTTCTGATGCAATACCCAGAACGGGACTTCCCCAATCCCTCTACTCGTAACTTGGCTGATCCGCGTACCATCAAAGTGGCCACGAAGAGATTAGTCGGAAGCGTTCACATGTAGCCACTATCAATGTAATACTATTCAACCAATAAGGGATTTCACTTATTTGTTTCCGAAGTCTCCATGAGGTTCATTACGCTGCTTCATTTGAAGCTGGGGGCCATTCACATTAGTGGTGACTAGTCTGTAGTTAAGTTTGTTTAGCTCTGTAGTCATGCCAAAAGTGAAAGTAAGTCATAAAACTAAATTACAGCTGTATCAATGGGAGTTCGAAGGAGAGATGATAACTAAATTCTTTATTGCCGAGTGTGTGAGAAAACAGTTGGTTGTGAAAAACGCTTTCAAGTGCTTCAGCATTTAAACACTAATATACACAAAGAGAATATTAAAATTAAATCCACGAAAAGTGCTCCTGTTCAAAAATTGCGTAGTGAATTTTCTAATAATAGTTTTCACAGTTTTCCTCTGATTTATGTGAAGCCTTTATAGCGGCAGATATTCCGCTGTGGGAACTAACCAGTCCTACTCTGAGAAACTTCATAGAGAAGTATACACAGTGCAAAGTGCCGGATGAATCTACTGTGCGCAAAAATTACGTGAAGCAGCGTTACGATCTTACAATTGAAAGCATTAGAGATAAGATTCAAGATAATTTTGTGTGGGCATCAATCGACGAAACACAAGATTGTGATGGACGATTTATTGCAAATTGTATAGTTTGAGCCCTTAATAAGAATGAACAATCTACCCCATATCTTCTTGCAGTAGAGCAATTTGAAACCACAGATAGCTCTGCAGTTTCCGAATTTTTTATCAATTCCATGAATTTACTGTGGCCGAATGGCATTCAGTATGAGTGCATTGCTCGTTGTGACTGATATCGCAAGTTATATTATGAAAGTCGGTACTGCTCTTAAAGTTATATTTCCAAATATGATACATTTGACTTGCCTTGCCCATAGGTTGCACTGTGTGCAAATTTTCCAGTTGTTGACAAGTTGGTGTCTTCTGAGAAGAAGGGGTTTGTTAAAGTACCATACAGAAAAGAAGCCTTTAAAGCAGTAGCACTGAGCATTCCACTTCCGCCAGAACAAATTTTAATGCACTGGGACGCGTGGCTGTGTGCAGCGAGTTATTATGCTGAACCTTTAGAAACAGTTAGGAATGTCGTGAATACATTTGATCCCAAAAGTGCAGCATCAATTCAAATTGCCCAAGATGTACTAAAAAACACAGAACTAGAAACTAATCTTTCCTATATATATCTGCTCACCTCTCTCATCTTCCATTTGCCATTTCCTCACCAGAGGCAAGCAATAGCAATACTACTTTGTATCAGTCATTAAATATGTTCAAAACCACTGTTTCCAAATTGAATTCGGTTCCTAGAAGAGTTGGTGAAGTAGTAAAGGAAAAAGTACACAACATTCTTTAAAAAAATCCAGGATATGAACAAATTTGTGAAATTGTAGAAATTTTATCCAGTAAATGTACTGAACTGCCAAGTAAAAAATCGCTAACAGTGGAGCAAATAGTGGCTTTTGTACATGAGCCCCTAAGTTCCTATCAGGTGGAAAGAAGTTTCTTCCCACTATAAGGACATCTTAGGAGACAATAGAAGGCGACTAACTTGGAAAACCTAAAACATTTAGTAATTGTGAACTGCAACAGAAGAGAAGTTGAAAGTTTGGAGAGCTAAATGTGAGTACCATTGGTTGTTTAAATTTGCAATGACATATGTTGGATTTGTTGCATCATTTGCATTTAAGTATAGCTTTTTACTGCAAGTGAATCATTCAGTGATTACATAAAATGAACTTAAATATTGATTTGTTGGTCTTAAAATAATGTAAAATCAGTTTTAATATTTGGTATAGATTTTTATGTGCATATTTTAGTGCATATTTCAGAAATTTTCATGCATAAATGCATACATATTTAAGGGATTATTAGGGCATAAAAATCCAGTCCCTAGTGATCACTCATCCATCCACAGTAGTACCAGATGAACCCTTTGCATGCCACCAGCCAATTACATTGGCTCTGTGTGAGAGAGCTAGCCCCAGTCACTGGATTATAATTGAGGTTAACTCTTATAAGGGACCTAAAAGAATAGGTGTCTCCCCCTCACCTGAGGATGGAAACAGATCCAGTTTCCAAAATGTTTGTGATCTCTAACCCACTAATTCTGAGTGTTATGCACCACTGTCAGACCCCTTTAGGATCTACAATTATACTTCTTTCACTGAAAAGCTTTTAAATACATATTTCAGTTGTTTTAACCTATAGTGATATGAGAATGCAAACCAGGAAATCTGGTAGAGCTTCAACAATTAAGAATGTCTTCTCTAAGAAATGTAACAGTAGAACATAGGAAGTAGCTGTTAGGAAAGTTTTACAGGAGCATTGGACTTCCACAAACCTTCCAAATGTTATAAAGTGTCATAGTCAACACTCAAAGAAACCATTGCTAAGAGAAGCGAACTTTTTGATGGTTGGTGCAATGATCCCAAGAAGTCTGAATTCTAGACATTTGGTGGTCCGTTTGCTCTGTCTTATGACAGAATTGAGGCTTTCAGAATATGTAATATGTAGTCTTTCGGTTGTCATGGCTGGTATATAGCTTAGTACAGAAACATGGGACCGCTGATAGGTTTTATCCTTAGAAAAGGCCATAGAAAGTAGTTTTCAAAAATTGGATGTCAGTCTAATCTACAGGAATGTTATTATTCCTAAGACAACAGCATCCTCTACAATTTCCCACAGAGTGAAAATAATCAGAACATGAACTCATCTTATACACTTTTGCCTGTAACGCAGCCAATATGTGCACTACTCACAGGAAAGCACAGTCTGCCACATCCATATCATTTCCCCTTCAGTGAACCCTGAAACTGGTTCATCCTGTAGCCATGGCACTGCGACCTGCCACACCAACTCCTCTTCTGTAAATTTTGAAGATGCCAGGTTTTCATGACAAAACCTTGATCAGGAAATGTAAAAGGAGGCCCATAGGGTTGTGAGATGTTGAGGTTCCCATTATTTCTAGAAAATCAGCTCAGTTGGCGGTAAGGTTGTCAGCCCTACGCCACGGCTGCCCTTTACTCCCAAGAATATTCCTGGTACTCATTTCTGTTAGAGGCTGAGTCAATCCCAGGTCCATAATGCAGTTGGAAGGATTAGGTAAATTGAAAAAATCCAGTGACCTTATCGGGATTTGATCCCGCGACCTTCTGGCTTGTAGCATAGTGCCTCAACCAACTACACTGCTGTGTGCCCCCAGTGTTGACAAGACAGCAGAGAACAGTGATAAGAACTCTACCTGCTCTGTATGCAGGTGGGATTATGCTTGAAACTTGAATACAAGTACAAGCACATGAGCAAAATGGATTCAGTGTTGCTTCTGCCTTCAATGGCAGCATAATGGTGTGAAAACCTGTGTGATGATTTTGTGGAAGGAATGTATATGTGTCACAAAATGGAGGTCTATGGAGTGTCATACTGTAATTTCATATAAGTACCTAAATCTCATAGGAATCTGTTTTTAATAAAATACTGTAATTGCTGTGATACATTATTTGTATGTAATAAAATTAAGCTATTTTATGCCATTTAATTATCACGTAATGAGGAAGTCTCTCACAAAATTTGGATTCCGCTGTCACAGCATTATGAAGCTTATCATTGAGTTGGGTATCGTTGTTTCAGAAATATGATGAACAAAACTTTGTTTAAATGAAGCAGTTGATTATTTTGGAAACTGCATGAATATGTAGTTCTGGTCTCAGACCGTAACACTGAAACTTTGTACTTGGTTTCATTCAGAGGTACATTACATAAAACATACCTAAAGAAAAAAATCTTGTAATTAGGCAACCTTACACTAATGGTAATTGTTAACTTGTGACAAACTGATGTGAAGTAACTTCAACTGAAATGTTAACTGGTATTTATCTTCTGTTGTTGCAGGTTCAAGTGCTGGATGTCTTTGAGAATGCTAAGTTCTTTCAACTTGTGATGGAAAAACATGGTGCAGGCATGGATCTGTTTGAATTTATTGATAGAAAACCTTATCTGGATGAGGCACTCAATAGTTATATCTTTAGACAGGTAATGTCAAGTTTTCCATCCTTTTCTGATGAATGTGTGAGTATCTTGTATACTGTATATATAAGAGGCTAATTCAAATAACCCGGAATAGTTAAAAAAGGAGCTGAGTTAACACTGTAAGCAGAATGTGCTTTTCAGTTCTTAGTGTATCATTATCTTACAAAATAACAGCATGAAGACACTGCACATATTATTTCATATGATTAACATTGACTAAATTACCATGGAAATTAATTGAGCTGTTGCTTTGTGGACTGCTGTTGGTTACTGAATACAGAACTACAATGAAATCTGTTTGTCTAGTACAGTCATTTTCAGTATTTCACATTTGGGCCCTTAGTGCACCTACCATTGTTCTGCAGAAGATACCATCCCTGCAGTTTAATTTAGGGAGATGATCTCCATGTATGACTGAAATTTCATCAAAATCAGTAGATCCATTTTCAAGAATTTTGTTTTTTGGAGCATATCTGTGAAGACCCCCTATTTTTGGAGCTACACTGTTCAAGTTCATCAAGCATCGACCTAGGAGTACCAAATATGAATAAAATATGTCTGTCCATTCAGCCTCACACCCACACATGATGTACATACAGTCAGATGGTATTCAGAAATGACTTTTCATATTCAAGGGTCTTCAGAATGTGTAAATCCATCAAATCTCAAGACTGAATTTTTTTTCCATGATAACAGTATTACCACATATATGAGAAAGTAAAAGTGATCTATTCTGATACCTTTTTTATGTGGTCATAACTAGTGAAGACCCTTATAAGCCACTTTTTTGGTTTAGCAAATGGGAGCTTTGGTACACAAAGGGAAAAAGACATCCTTATTGATATTTTTTTTTATTAACTTATAAATTGCATATTTACAGTCTACTCTCAATTTTATGCAGTAATAAGTAAATTTGCTCCAGGTGGGTGTCTTGAGTAGAGAAATCCACTGATGATACTGTTACAGGCCCTGTAAGAGAATTATAATGGCTTTAGCTTTCTTCATCTGTGGGTTGTGGTAGGTCCAATGGCCACTGTCTCCTCAGTCTCCTTACATTTGGTGGGTTACTGATTTCTGCAGCTAGTCTGTTGTTGTGTCTGAGTATGTTTTGATGGTAGAGTGTTGACAGTGTATGTATTCTATGACAAATGGGATTAGCAGATCATTATGGAGAGTAAAGTTGGAGACATACCAAGGTGCGTTGTTATTAAGCGCAAAACTTTAGATTGGAATCTTTGAATTATTTTTGTGTTTGATGGTTTTGTGCAACCCCATAGCTTTATACCATATGTCCATATGGGTTTTATTATGCATCTATGTAGTATTTATCTGTGGATAAATTGGATTTGCGCCAAGAGCCAGGGCATTTCTTGTAGTCTTAAGTTTAACTTCTGACGCTATGTTTTGACATGTTTCTGCCATGTCAGTTTTTGGTTGAGGTATAAACCAAAGTATTTACTTCGGTTTGACCAGTGTTTTTATACTGACGATGATAAATTGTGGGCACATTATATGTTACATGGTGAATAAGTTTCACTGATTTTTTCTAATTTATTTTGTTTTTCCATTTGCTGTACCATTGCTGGAGAACGTTTAGTTGATGTTGGAGATGTTATGATGCTACTATTGTGTTATTATTTGCTGCTAACAAGGCTGTGGCATCTGTGTAGGTTGCGATTGTGGTGTTGTTTGTTGTTGGCAAATCTGCACTACAGATTAAATATAATAGAGGCCCCATCACACTACCTTGTGGTATACCTGATTTCACTTGGAAGCGTTTTGAATATGAATTATTATATTTTATTTGAAAATGTCTTTCAGTGATGTGAAGGTTGTGTTCATGGTACCTAATTATGCTTCAAATTTGCAGCCTCTGGATTAGGGGGTTATCCATGTTGCAAAAGTGCACTATAGGTCACAGCTAGTGCAGAAAATTTAGGCTAACATTTCTCTGTGTCCTGCCACAGACATAAACGTTCTGGAAGCACTTCAGATGTTTAGTGTGGCTTGGAAAACGTGAAGTGCTACAATTGTGAACTGCTTTCACTAAGCTGGAATTGTGCCACAAGACAAATGCAAAGGTGAAAGTGAAAGTAAAGCCAATATGATGAAAAATTGGCTACATTTGTGTCAAAACTGTAGGTTGAGGTATTATTGGATTACTTCATTGGTGTGGGTAGTGATGCCATTGCTGTTCAAGAGCTCCCAGAGATGAGTATGTTCTGGAAATCTTAATCATCTTCCTCACCCTCCAGTGTCCTGTTGTCACCAGATGTCCTGTTTCCTGCCATGGTGATGATGAAATGTCATTACTATTGTGGTAGTAGCCAACATGGTACAAAGTCTTCAGCCCTTCAAAGTGGCCAAGGAGTTCTGGACCATGTGTTTAAGAATGGTGAAATTCTCAAAGAATTTATCAAGATATCAGTACTAAAATAGGGTATAGAGAAGATAATTGTGAACTTCTTATGAAGTAAACATGATAAGTTTGTCTCTTCTTTGTTTCCTTTAAATGTATATCAAACCATTGTGCTGACATTTTTAATGTGTTTCAGTGCAATGATTTAATTATACCGACATTACACTGTAAATGGTTATACCTTCATTTATTTAAGTCATCCTTATCCTTTCCTACTTCAGGTAGTGTGCTCTAGGAAAAGCAATTGTCATATTTATCCATGTTCCTTATCTGTGAACTACTAGAAACTAGTTTTACAGTGGTCATAGCCTACGTTGTTTAATAAACCATTTAATGTCACAACACTGGTCATGAAACACTTCAAGCAATCTTTGCATAGAAACTTGGCCTGCAATGGCAGTATCCTGTAAAACTGGAGTGTAAACATACACTTACAGATGTGAATGAATTAATATATTTTATGAAATATGAAGCATTAATGATTGTTCAATTTATGTTGTGTTCTGTCTTTCAGATTGTCTCTGCAGTAGACTACCTTCATTCCTTGCAGATTCTTCATCGAGATATCAAGGATGAAAATGTGATCATTAATGAGAGATTTCATGCAAAGCTAATAGACTTTGGTTCAGCCACTTTCATGAGCGAAGGCCGGCTGTTCTCTACATTTTACGGCACAGTAGAATATTGCAGTCCAGAAGTGCTAGCAGGAAATAAGTATGTATATTGTGATGCATTTTATTATAAGCAGTGAAATACCAGTACATCAAATGATACAATAACAGAATTTCAAACTTTGTTGCATATGTTTTATTTTAGTTTCAGGTCATAGGTGATAATTACTTCTCTCAGTTATTGAATGTACATAGGGTCAGTGATGTTAGGCAGATATAAATACATACAACTGAACCTTTAGTACCCAATCCTAGACCTTTTGAGGTTGAAAGTGCTATTGCAAAATTAAAACGGTATAAATCGACACACAGTGATCAAATTCCGGAAGAACTTATTCAAGCAGGAGGCGAAATATTACGTTCTAAGATCCATAAGCTAATTACTTATATGTAGGACAAACTGCCTGATCAGTGGAAGGAGTCTACTGTTGTACCAGTTCACAAGAAGGGTGATAAAACTGACTGTAGTAATTATCGTGGGATATCACTGCTATCAACTTCATACCAAATTCTATCCAATATTCTTCTCTCAAGGTTAAGTCCATACATAGTTGAAATTATTGGGGAACATCAGTGTGGGTTTCACATAACATATCAATTATGGATCAGATCTTTTACATTCATCAGATCCCTGTAACAGGCCATGGAGGCCCATAGGTTTGTGAGGTCTTGAGGTTCTCACATTTTCTAGAAAATGGACTCATATATGGCAGTAAGGTAGTCAGCCTTACGCACCGGCCGCCCTTTACCTCCAAGAATATTCCTGGTAATTATCTGATCTAGATACTGGAGAAAAAATGTAAGTGCAATGAGACAGTACATTAGCTATTCGTAGTCTTCAAGAGAGCCTATGATTTGGTTAGGAGGGAAGTATTGTACAGTATTCTGATAGAGTTTGCAGTACCCATAAAACTAGTTAGGCTGATTAAAATGTGTTTAAACGAAATGTATAGTGAAGTCCGTATAGGTAACCATCTGTCTGATAATTTTCCTATCCAGAATGGTCTAAAACAAGGAGAATCGATTCAGTCCAGAATCTTTCGTCTTCTCATCTGCTGTCCATAAGCATAAAAATTAGAATATACAAACTTATAATTTTGCCTGTGGATTTGTATCGGTGAGAAACTTGGTCTCTGACATTAAGGGAGGAACATGGACTGAGGGTGTTTGAGAGCAACATGCTGAGGAGAATATTTGGACCAAAGAGAGATGAAGTGACAGGAAGTTGGAGAAAACTGCATAATAAGGAGCTTCATAACTTGTACTCTTCAAGTGTAATTAGAATGATCAAATCAAGGAGGATGAGGTGGGCAAGGCAGCTCGTGTTGCACTTGCTTAGTCCTCAAAGATGGAACCCTTGGTACCTTTTGAATCATTATGAGTGGGCCCTGTATAAGGTTTTGATCTGGTGTCAGTGAGAACAATCCTTGTCGTGCGAGGAGCCAATTCCTGGTCATAGAGCGATACTGAGCTGTGGAGAAAACCAAAATACAATATTTCCAACAACTGACCTGTAAATTAGTTACTACCTTATGTGTTCTTATAGGTTGTTACCAACATTTTGGAGGAAATTGGTGCCTTCATCTTTAATATCTGCATCAAGATAGAGGCAGGATATTCCTCCAAATTGATAGTAACAACCTAGAAGACTACTTGGTGTCACAGTCCAAAAGGCCACATTCTGAATCTTCACCGCTGTGAAAATCTCAGATCTCATTTGAGATGCAATGCTGACAGTGGGAGATCAAGCTCATTTGTGCAACAATTACAGTACTACTACACCATCAGCTCATCCTTTCCTACCTGTTCTGCCTACCATGGGTCATATGTAAGGAGTGTGGCTAGTAAATTGTGGCGTGCAAATAACTCAAAGTGGAAGTCTGTGTTTAACAAAACCAATGAGCAACAACTTGAAGAAGAAAACTAAAGAATGTAAACAGAAGCCAACAAATCATAAATGGCCTATGCATCTGCTGTCTTAAGGTCAAAGCCCCAGGTTACAGGGAACACAACAGACACCTCATGAGACAGCAGGAGGACTGGGTGCTTGCATGCGTGGAAACACAGGGCTGAAACCATATTAGAACAAAGAAACCAGACACAACTTAAGATTGAACCTCCTGAGGTACATTCTGTGCAAACAGTGCCCCTGAGGCCCAGGGATTAGCTTTGCAGAAAAAGGTAGCTAATCAGGAGAAATGAGGAGGCTGGGATGTATATGCACTGTCATGTAGGCAGGAAGATGGAATGGAAGGCCAGTTCATATGTGAATAAGTTTAATATTTCACAAATTAACTGTGATTGCTGTCATGTATTAAGTCCACTTTTTTCTACTTCTGACAGGTATGAAGGTCCAGAGTTGGAGATGTGGTCACTAGGAGTTACACTTTATGTGATGACATTTGGAGAGAACCCATTCTTTGATATTGAAGAGATTATGAGGGCTGAACTGCATCCTCCATGCAAGGTGTCAGACGGTAAAGTTTGTTTTTATGAAACAGCTGTGACATATGGTGACTTACAGTTTAGTATAATTTAGTTACTATGAATTGTTAATGTGCAGAACTGATGGAGCTGCTACACTGGATGCTAAAGAAGGACTCACATGAGCGTTGTAAGGTTCAGCAGCTGGTTGGGCATCACTGGGTCAACCAGGAAGTGGATATGAGTAGCTATTGCTTCCACGATGTGGTATCTTGCCGTGAGTATTTATATGGGGTGATTTAAGGTCCTGTGGCCGAACTTCATGAACTTGTTGGAAAAATAATTTGGAGCAGAAAGTGTATGTAAGTTACTGATTCATTGGTCTTATATGATCTGATATTTTGCTGTTTTTAAGAAAATGAAATAAATATTCATTCAATATTCTGTTAGTTTTTTTAGATTTAACATCTTTATTGCTTTTAATTCAGTTGAAAACAACAGTAACAAATCAGAATTTGATTCATGAGGAATTTGAGAGAAGATTAAAGATGAGTATTGCTTGCTATCATTCTGTTTAGAACATTTTTTCTTCTTATCTTCTGTCTAGAAATGTAAAACTGAAAATATACAAAACTATAAGTTTGCCTGTGGTTTTGTATGGGTGTGAAACTTTGTCTCTTGCATTAAGGGAAGAAAATAGACTAAAGGCATTTGACAGCAGTGTTCTTTGGAGAGTATTGGGTCCAAAGAGGGATGAAATAATAAAAGGTATGATAAAACTGCGCATTGAGGAACTTTATAGACTGTACCCTTCACCAAATATAACCAGAATGATCAGGTCAAGGGGAATTGGATGGGCAGGGCATGTAGCATTTATGAGAACAGGATTGCTTACAGGCGTTATGCAGGCATTTAAAAGCTCCTGACTTCCCAGCTGCAGAAATTTTTCTAAATGCCACAACTGGAAAGGGTTAAATCCCATCCAAGGAACACATACAAGCCATCAGAATGAACAAACAAAATTTAAAATTTGCTCAACACATTTTAAGTATAGGTTATGCCCATGGAACAATAGATAATACATTATAGATAATCCATGTAAGAAAAAATAGTCCTTTCATAAGTACGTTAGAGGCATTTCATGTATACAATATCAGCAAACAAGAAATACAGTAAATCCTTGCTAATCTAGTTACAGTTAATCTAGATGTTGGATAATCTGGATCAAAGTATGAGAAATAAAAACAGCTGTTCACAGTTGAGTACATGCTTTAAAAAGACACATGTCCTTTGGGAAGGCAGATGAGTCACTTATCTGTTCAGAAAAAAATTGACAGTTTCTTCAAACCTGCATTGTTTCATTCAAAAACAACTTCTAAGTCTTCTATCGATGAATAAGTATATTGTCTTTTTATACTTGACTTGGTTCATATTGCTTCGTCACACTAGCAATAGTATAAAATGACTCATAGCATCGTCCAGTGTGATTGATTTATAAAAGTTGTATTTCAATATTTCTTTTTCCTTAACATGTTTTGGTTGAGTTGAGCATCTTCAGAAGGACACGATCAACATTTAGGAAACCACTATTACATTGTCATTAATATATAAAAGTTACACCTTGTAACTACAACATTAAGTACATGAAGTGTTTGGAACATTTATAAGTTATTATAACTAAATTATTTACACAGTCAAGTATTGTTCATTGCTAGCTCATCAGTTTTGTCTTTCAGAATATTCCATTTTTATTCCTGAAATGCCTGGTGTTTCATGTCCTATATTGTTCAAATTATCCCCATTTATTTTGCTTGGATCCTGTAACCACTGCAATTTGGCTTGTTTTGTTTTGTCTAATAATTTTGAGCATCCTTCATCTAATCATGGCTTTTGCTTCTTCAGTTCATAATAGCAGAAATATTGATATTCTCTGTAATAGTTTCCTGTGCTCTATTAACATCGACCTCAGTGTCAAAGTTTTCCAAAGCCGTGAACCTACGTAAGATTTGAACGTGATACTACTCTTTACCCTCTGCCTTGTTTAATTTCTTGAGATTGAACCTCTCCATATTAACTGTGTACATTGTTTGTTTATTAACTGCCAGTCTTTCCCTAACCTTTGTACCACCAGGTAGTGGTCAGTATCACAATCTGCTGCCCTGAATGATTGGACATCAGGTATACTTGAATGCCATCGTTCTATGAAAATATGGTCACTATACACATAATAAAATTTATTTCATCATATATTCTGCACCAGTTACCTCACTGTTAACTACAGGTGAACACCATAATATTATATTACATGTATCTATCTGTCTGCCACCTACCCACCTACCTACCTGTCTGCCTGTGGCCCTACAGCACTTTGTTGGACCTTGGCTGCTTTTTCAGTTGCTTGATCTTTTACATAGCGCATAAGATTCCTTGGACAGGAGGATCAGCCTGTCGCAAGACCACTACATGCATATGCTGGACAGCACAGACACACAGACATCCATGCCTCAAGTGGGATTCAAACCCATGATCCCAGCATTTGAGTGTACAAAGACAGTTCAAACCTTAGACTGTGCAGCCACTGTGATCAGCATTATATTCCATATAGTCCAGTAATGTTACGTATTTAATAATAGATTAACTACATAACACCAACATAAGCCATCCATGAAGGAATGCCATCTGTCAGAAGAATGGAGAATCTGGCCAGTATTTGAACTAAACATCTCCTGAATAAAAGTTTTAGAGTGTTACAACCAAACCATCCTACTTGAATGAAATATTGATATTAGTTTGTTAGATTTTGATCATAAATAAATGAACACATTATAAACAATCTAAACATTTGAGTTTAAATAAAAGTAATAACTGACTACATAGCTAAAGGAAAGAGCTTTTGGAGTGCCAACCTCATAAGATTGCAAAGTAAATATTGATGTTAGGCCATATGAGAACAGAGATGTTAGCCCCCAAGAACAAGATGGCTGGAACAGTGTTGTAGGCATACTACTTTGTGTAGATATCAATATCTAATCACTGTGTATTTTCAGATCCTCAGGAAGCACGTCCGCCTGTTTACTATGCTGAGTACAGATGTGATTCCGCTAATGATTCACTATCAAACCGTTTTCCAATCACGGAATCATCTTCTGCAGTTCTGTCAAACAATGATGAAGATTCCAATGCTGATGATCGGACTGTTGGCAGTTCCAACTCTCTTGGCAGTCTCACAACTGTTGAAAATTTTGAGACTGCAGAAGATGAGCATGGTCAGCATCAAACACATGGTAAGAGACGTATAAGAGTACTGCATGGTCTCATGTGGAAAGGGAAAACTTGTTGTGAATTGAAGTAGCTCTGAAAAAGAATTTGCAGATCAGATGCCAGTGGTGATGCTTGTGACAGGAAAATGTCAAATTTGGTTTTCGGTAATCTTACTGTAGTGGATATTGCATCTGGTCAGTGGACTACCAAATGAAAAAAGGGGTAAATATAAGAACTTTATATACCAGAGGACAGCAATTAAGGTTGAAACATATAATAATACATATTGTATAATGAGTCTATACAAACAACTGTGTCAATGGAACAATAATAAAAATTGTCTCACTTGCTATATGTTGCTACAATATTGTGGCTGTTTCTTTCCTTTCACAATTTTCCCAGTCCACTGTCCCTGTTGACCTAGATGAAGCTCCAACCTCCACTTGCTCAAGTGGTTTTTTAAAACATAAACCTACAGGAATTCTTTGCAGTATTGCTGTCACTTTTGGTGGTTTTTAAATGTGTTGCAAACATGGTGAGGTAATGGATTTAAATGTGGAGAAAGTTATAGGTTTGACAAATTCAGCTGTAACCTTATATGACAATTTCAGAGTCGGTAATATGATGTGAAAATGCCACTATTTGACTTTTAGAATGGAACATTTTTTTTCTGTGTAATCAACCAAATTGAATACATTTTTTTATATGCATGCTTAGTTAAATTCCGCACGACTTATATGAGTTCTGTTCAGATCCACAGAGCCATTCATCGTTACCTTAAAAAGGGAACATAATTTTTTTCACCGCCTGAGAGCATTGAAATACTGTTCTGTCTGTTGCCTGCTTCAGAAACAAAACAAGTGAAAATGGAGTATTCTGCTATTAGTGGACATGGCTCAGTCTCTTCAGCAGCAAAAGTGTCCCTTGCCAAGATGATGCACCATCAGGAGGAAGAGCAACTGGTACATTGTACAAAGCAGCTGCATGCGACTATGGATGATGCAGCTAGTGCTGCTTCAGCTGAGGCCACAAATTCTTACTTGCCTGCTGATGAACTGTTCGAAGAAGACGTGTGGGATCCAGAGTACTATGATGAGCAAGACAGCTTCTCATGAGATCAAGTGTAGCTTGTTATGGTAACAACACTGGTTTAACCTAAGAAAATAATTCTTGTAGCAGTTCCTTGTTATTTAATTAATTGTTGAAGAAGGGAAGAAATGTTATCCTATATTTTAAGACCTTTTTGTCTGTATGATGACCAGATATATTAAGAATATGTACATAGCTGTCAAGGGTTTGGAAGATTCTCTCTTTTCTTCTGGATAACTTGAATTTAGTATTTCTTAGTCTGTAGTATATCATGAGGAGGAATTGTATGTTATCTGCTGTGTTTCTTTGAGACTTTTCCAGTAATTTATTATTTTTAAACTAAAGTTATTATGCTAAAGAGTAGAAGTTGGTTACTTTTTTTTCGATATTGTCAGTTATAATTTGCCTCAGTTTTCAAACTCTGTTTTCTCAAATATTTGGCCTTTGCTTGTTACATGATAAATGTCTATCAGGTAATTATCTCTCTCCCTGAAGAATGAGAGACACATTTTTCAATCCTTCTCACGGAGTTGCAACCCGTCACTTCATACATGAAGGTTTTGTGGTGTTTATTACAAAGGATAAGATTTGCAATTGAAGGGTGCAGCACCAAAAATGGGATGTCTCTAATTGTGGCTGAAATTTAGTTTTACTTTGGTTCATATATGTGAGATTGCCCAGATGGTGTAGCTCTATGGGTAGTTAACGGTTGCAGTCCCCCCCCCCCAAGTCTGTTGAAATGGAACTACATCATTTCTGTGCTGAATTCTTCAATTGCTTTGTCAGCACCAAAATCTTCTGTGTGTTTGAAATTCAATAAAACTAACATTAATTACTTGATCACTTTTATGTAACATTGTGTAAAATTACACTGATCTTAGCAGAGGAAAGGGTTAGAAATTTGTCGCCCACTTTAAGGAGTTCCTCTCAGTTGTGGAGCCTCAGTTTACACAAAACTATCACTAAATTATATTTTCGTGACAACGTATTATTCTTCGTGTCTTTCCTTGTTGATATTCTTATAGGGTCATTATATAGTGATGAAGCTGTTGTCTTATTTTCAAAACAGAAATACAAATGTCCTTCACCTTGCATGATAATTGTTTTGTGAAGAGAGGTCATTCAAAAGCTTGTAATTTCAAATTGTTGTTACTTCTTTGATTTTACTGCCTTTAATTTACATTTACAAGTATGCAATTCAGTTACATTTAATACAGTTCATTTTAGTCATTTACAAATCAATTTTCTTTACTTGGATAATTTAATTGTGTTTTAATCTTTACTAACAAGATTACATTAAAGTTTTTGTATGCTATAGTTGAAATTGTGTAAGGTGATGGATACCTGTATTGCTCAAGATCATGAGTATTCTTAGTAGAGGAGAGAAAATTGCAGCCAACATTCCATTTGATCCAAATTAATTTTGTGTGTGAAGAATTTGTATGAGGAACTTCAAATAGCTCTCCTAATTTATTAATGTAGTTTCATTCCAGGAATTGTTTTGCTATTGTACAGTCTCCATGAGGGACTCATAATATGACCATTGTTAACTTGACTACATGAAACTGTACATTTCCATATTAATTTTGCAAGGTTTGTATTTTATTTGTTTTGCAAACAAATGTGTGTTTTGTTTATAAAATTTCTCAGAAATACAGATGGTCTGATGAACTCATTAATATTAGCTGTTGAAAAACTTAAAATTTCAAATGTACTCAGTAATTTTTAGAATTCATGTAATTGTAAGAGTACCTGCATATCTTCACAGGTCCACATACACTCCTCTGGTGGTGCCAAAAAAAAAAAAAAAATTTTAGTGTTTTGGGAATTAGAAGCTGGAACTTGATAATTGTGTGGCCTTAGAGAAACGAGGGGATGGAGTGAGATGCCGTTTGTGCACATAATGCATGGACACGACATGACCAACATAATGTGTATATTTTGTGTAGTTAATGTTATTTATTAATACTTCCTCATGCATTTGGTTACAGAGTTACCTGAAATGTTTCTTTAGTTGCAAGTACAGTTGTGTAACTTCCGTTTCTTTACTTTTATTTTCATGATTGATTTTTAAAAATAAACAGTGGAGTCTGAATGGTGTTCCATATTGTAGTAGTGTAAACACCAGAATATAAGTCAGTGGTTACCAAACCTGGGTCATTGTACCTTTACATGGTGGTGGTCTGGATTGTGACACTGTAGTTTTGAGTGCTTATCGCTTTGAAAGAACATGCTGCCTCCATCTTCAGAGGAGGAGGGTTGGAGGCTGCAGGATTCCTCCAAAATGGTGAATCTTGAGACTGCGTGCTTTTATAATCCAGAAGACCACAGTTTACAAGTTCAATGTTCTAAAATTTTCAAATCTCATACATGGTTCAGTGTCTTGAGATTGGTAATATATTGAAATTGAGACTCAAACTTGGCTTCATCTTATTAGTCATTAATTTAATTTCTAAAGCTTCTTCTTACAGTTATAGTATTTTATACTAATATTGTGTTTTAATTTGCCTGTACTTAATGCCCAAGTAACCCTGAGTGAGGTATTAAGGATTGTGCTGAAAATTATAGTTTCCATTGTCATCCGTTTGCCGCAAGTGAGTCTCAGTACACATTTCAGGAATCAGAATATGTATCCGCTTTCAAATTACAGTTGACCAAAGTGTTCATTTTTACCATTTATTGCAGAAATATAGGAAAAATAAGTGAATCCAATCTCATGGAGCAAATCATGGACTTATGAATCATAACCATTGCACTGAAGTGTAAACAGTTAATTTGAAGTCAAAATTTGGATTAAGAAAATATGATTTGCTAATGGTACATTTAGACAAGCAACAAAAGCTGATCAGTATGTAGTGATTTTATTGCTGTATGCTGATGAAAATCTGCTGTGGCAATTAGGTTCCACAGTGCTGGCAGTATGGATCAGCTTCAAAGTAATCATTATTTGTAACCCCCCTCTCTTCCCCTCTTCTTAGTAGGGGGTGGAGTCCAACTGAGTCCATTCGACACGACGGCCACTGATTGGCATACTGTACCTGCCCCTGGTGATTATGATGATGGAGAATTTGGTGGACTGAAGATTGACAGGGGAAATGAAGTACTCGGAGAAAACCCGCCCCAGCGCCACTTTGACCACCACAAATTCCACTTGACCAGACCCAGGATTGAACCCGGATCACCGCTGTGGGAAGCCAGCAACTAACTGCTTGAGCTTTGGCGCGGCCTCTATTTGTACCTTAGGAGACTGTCAGCCTTGCTTTATGCTAGACATCCCTTTCAGACATCGCAGCTGCTGCTTATGCACTCATACACTGGATTAGTGGAAGAGAAGCAGAATCTGTGTTAGCACGTCCTGAGAAGTGTCATGCTTTGTGCAATGAATGATGGCAAATGCTTCTTGCAGTACTACCCAAGACTATCACTTGGTCAGAAATTGGATACCAACATGAGGAAAGCAATTCCCATATCAACCAAATTAGCAACTATGTTAAGATTTTGGCTACTGCGAACTCCTATTTAGTTTCAGAGTTTGCTTCTTCCCTCTCTATACTGTAATGTCTGAGGAATTGAAATAATGCATCAGATGAAGTAAGTCTTAAGTGGCCTCGCTTACTAGTCATGCCTCATGTACCTGGACGATGTGACTGATTGGCTGCACGTTCCAGGCGCACCTGCTTATCCTATGGAAAATGGTTCTGTGAGGCCCACCTAAAGGTCAACCTGGAAAAGTGTCAATTCCTTAAGAAGGAAGTTTGGTACCTGTGTTGCCAGGAGGAATTACCATAGACTGGGAAACTGAAGGCTGTATGAAAATGGCTGACCTCAAGAAACAAACACAAAATGAGGAGCTTCCTGAGCTTATGTACCTATTACAGATTGTTTATCTCTGGCTTCATCAACATTGTGAATTCAACTGACCAAACTCGCAGAAGAGAAATAATTCCAGAAGTAGAGGTTGCCTTCCAGGTACAGACAGCCAGAAGAAAAGTTGACTGTTGACACAGATGCAAGAAAGGTCAGGATTGGAGGAGTACTGTCACAATTACATGATGGACAAGAGTGAGTAATAGCCTACTACAGTAAGACTCTGAACAAGGCAGAGAGAAATTACTATGCTACCAGGTGCGAACTGCTGACCATTGTGAGGACAATAGAACATTTCCATAAGTACCCCTACGACCACGAGTTCTAACTGCTCAGTGACCACTCCACGCTAATCTGAATCACGTGCTTGCAAGAATACAACTTTACTTCTGAGCATTGCCAAGGTTGGAAGCATAACAATACTAATGCTTTTTCACAAATAGCATGCCGAGAAGAGTGTATTCAGTGGAAAAAAGTTGAGGTGCAGGCAAAAGTGAAACAGGTGTGAGTTATTGCAGCTGTAGCTGCAGATACCTGGAGCTCAGCTGCAATAAAGGGGGATCAGCTGACCGATCAAGACTTGGGGCCAGTCCTACAATAAATAGACATGGAGCAACACCTGGAATAAAAAGATATCACCAACCAAAGTCCAACATACAAGGGCTAATTGGTCCAATGGAACTCTCTCACAGTAAGAGATGGCATACTGGAATGCCACTGGTAATCCACTGATGGAAGAGCAATGCCGGTACTGCAACACCTCTGCAGCCAGCCAAGGCCCGTGAACCAGGAGTATGGGCCTCATTTGAGAGAATAGCCATCGGTATAGCAGGCGAGAAACCCATTCTATCTTGACATATATAATTGTTGATGTTGATTGTGCTCTTGAGTGTTGGCACTGTGTCGATGTTGCCAGTATTGTGGATGTTTTAGAAATATATACTGCCTCCAGCTTAAGGGTTGAAATTTGGCGTTGAAGGTGGATGCACCATGCACCTCTGAAATATCAGCAACACTGCCTACAGCCACGCAGTTTGAAGACCTGAAGGCAGAATCAGTATTAACAATGAACCACTGTGAAAGCCTGAAATCAATACAGTCATTTCTCAATTTATACAATAGATGCATTGCATGTGTTAAAAATTCGTGAATCGAGAACTAATTTGCCATAAGAAATGAAGGAAAGTGATGAGTTGCATGCACAGGCCAAATCAAACCAAACTGGGGGACCATAGATATTTATTCTTGTAAAATGTTTGCTAGTTAATTGTTTCATTGAAAGGATTATTTTATATCATTGCTATGCATAGTTATGTATGCACAGATTCTGTTACCTTAAGCATCATGCAGCCATCTGTCTTGTTGCCTGTTACTGATCACATAATTTCATTCAAGTGAGGGCTAACATGTCATAATTTAAAAAGCAGTATTATTCTTCAGCAACAATAAAATGAAAAGGCATAAAATAAATATGCATAAATTGGGAGTTGATCGTAATATTTGATTATGTAATTACACAGGTAAGTCAAAAATTATCCGCACTCTTTGTTTTTCCAATCCATATATACAAAAGTAGGGGTTGAACAGGTACTTCATTTTTCTACATAGTCTCCTCCCTTTTCGGTGCACTTGGTCCAGTGGTCCAAAACCTTGCATATTTCCTCCACGAAGCAGGTTTTTGGTTGGTCGCGCAACGATTTATGCACCACTTCCCCCACTTCTTTGTCTGTAGAAAATCAAAAACCTTGTAAAACATCTTTGAGCAGTCCAAAGTGATGATAGTCGGAAAGGGCGAGATCTGAGCTAGTCTCAATCACTGGATGACTAGCTCTTTCTAACGGGT